GCGAGTTGCAACGGGGTTATAGTGTTCATGAATCCTGGATCAGGGATCACCAACGGGTCAGCTCCATGTAGCAATAACTCTCGAGCGATCTCGACGTGTTCAGCCAGAAAAAGTGGCGGTATCCGGTTAGACCTGAACGAAGCTTGAGCGAGTGTACCGGGTGGTACCCTTCGTTCCAATAACCAGCGAACTGTAGTCAATTGTCCCGTTGCCACTGCACAATGTAGCGGTGTCAAGAGACTTGTATGGAAGATCGAGTCGGCCGATTCGGCGTCGCTACCCTCCGGTCTCTTGACTATAAGTTGGATAAAATGCCAGAATAATCCTCCAGTGGATATAACGACGCGTTGTACTTTATCCAGCGCTGTCAAGTCGAATCCGTACTCCTCCAACAGCTCCAACCCACGGATATTCCCGAGTCCTGCTGCAATATGCACTGGATTTTCGGTCGATCGTGAAAAGAACTTCCATCGGATTTTCGGAGTCGTATAAAATTTGCGAGGGAATCCAACCTCACTTTTCATCAATCCTCTTTCCTTGGCGTACTCGAGAATCTCTCGCATTTCATGCACATCTCCTCGTCTTGTGGCGTGGTACAGTCGCGTACGGATAACATCCAACATCTTCTTGGTCGAGTCCAGCTTTTTATCCGCCCGTAAATCCACGTATTTCCTTAAGTCTCCAGTCTGATCGTTCTCTGCAAACGCTCCTAACTGCATCTTGATATGCTCACGATACCGTGCGAAATAATACAATACGGTAAATAATCCAAAGTAGCAGAACGCAGCGCCTATCGTGAATATCTGGGTGGCTACACTTCCGCACGAGTTAAGCGCGCCGATAAACAATACGTAGAGGAAATACAGCACCAGTCCGATATCGAAGAACAGCATAAACACCGCCAACACCTCGCATAGCTGGAAGACGAAGCAGCGTCGGATAGTGGCCACACTAACAGACTCAGGCTCTTCCTCTAACGTTTCGTCATTGTCACTACCATCACTCTTATTTAGGGGCTTTCGAGAGTTTAAAGCGCTCCGTTTAAAGGGTTCAAACGCTCGAATACCCGACCCTGGTAGCGATAGGATAATGGCGGCCGGGAGCGTCTGGTAGATGAGGTAGGAGAACGCCGCTAGCGAGTTACAGTCGTCGTATTCGTCCGAGTCCTTGTTATCGTTTAGCCACGTATCGACGAACGCAGTGTGGAAGATGACACCAACCGCTAAACCGGCGGATAGCAGCATACCGGACCGCATAAGTCGACGCGCGAAGAAGGAATTGTTGAGAAACCGGATGAAAAGCCAGTGTTTTGGTACATCTGCGAGTTTGCCGTGTAATTCTTCCATGTTGGCCTGGTGTCTCCGCTTCATTTCCAGCCATATTGGTCGATCGGTTGGCGACTGTGCGATGTGGTATGACGAGTGTGACGTGACGCTGGAGTTGTCGTCTACAACGAGCGGAGAGCGACGAATTCGTCGAGAGGACGTGACGACGGGCTCAACCGGTTCACGCGCAGCTCCGTGGCCGCCGGAATGAGGACGTCGACTGGTGTCGGTGGCGATAATTGCCTCGGTCATTTAGCAGACAAGTATGTAAGTGGATCACGCGGTGGACTACGGCGGCAGATGGAGCGTGTAGACAGCAAATCGCACATGCTTTTGGTCCTTATGGAGGTACGACGTTGAAGCGAGGATAGGATGAAGAGAAGAGGATAGTTAAGCAGAATTGATAAAGTCCTTGAAACGAGGATTGGCAGAAAGGATTACGTCTCCGATTTGACGGATTGTGCCGCTTTTGACCCGCAAGCAGCCAAATGTTGATGAACAGGGCTGAGACGGCTGAGGTGGCGTCGTTGGCGTTGGCGAGCGGGAGTGAACCATGTCTGCTGTTTGAGTCACGGTTCCCTCAAGCGCCAGACTGCCGGGGCTCCACGATGCTCGCCTCGCTGTGGTTAGGAAAGGTGTCCGAAGGGGTTCAGTGGTGTTAGGACAGTGTGCAGGGAAGGATAAACCTAGAACATTCAGGCTAGTATTCAGTCTAACGCGGGCAGGGATCGTTTAGTTTTGCCTGTGCTATTCGTGTGCAACAATGGCAAGCACTTGGAAGCTTGTTCACAAGCTCGCTTACCTTTTCCACTTGTTCTTGAGTCAACGGTGACTAATTGAGGTGCCGAAGCCTAAATGCCTTCACATGTGTGTTTCATAATTAAGTGATAGCTTCATGCTGGTTTCGACAGCAAAGCGATCGACATTAGCAGGTCATATCCCAAGACTAAGAACTTCCTACATGAATCAAGTTGTGTGATATAATATACACT